TAGAGGCCAAATAAAAGTTCATCGGGGACTGGGGGAAGCGGGAGTGATTTAAAAACATTCCCCAGTGTCTCTGGCACTATAAAGGGGTTTCTGAGAAGCAATATAGTTGTATCCCAACGACGCTGCGTGAGGTTTTGTTTTGTTTTTTCTATGCAACAATGTTAAATTTCTTTAAAATGTAAGTTTCCAAATTATGTTAATGAACTGATTAGACCGTTTCCTGTCAATCTGAGCCATCCCGTGGCAATAAAAATTGCTAATACACGAGCTACATCCCGGGGCTAACAAAGCTATTGGCAAGATCGGAGAATAAGGTAGTCTGGGTGCTGGGAACTAGTCGCTTGTGAGACACCTGGATGTGCCAGAAAAAGACGGTATTCCTATTAAAGAGAACTCCGAGCTGGTCTGGCACAGCTAGGGAAATCTGTAAATCTTTGTCATATATTAGACGTTGGATAAAAATATCCATATGTTATATCTAAAGGCAAATACACTGTGTGTGTGAGAAAGAGATCCATAAAATATATCCCACACATAAAGCCATGCTGAGTTTGTTTTTAAAGCGTGAATATTTTGCCTTTGAAACCTCTGGGAAGCAACACATCTATTTGATCTCAAAATATCACAAAACAATCATTAGATTAAGTTTGTGCTAGGCATTCTTGCCGGCTTGCATATTGCCCCGGAGAACATGTATGCGAAGATCCTCTCTGACTACTTCTTTTTAAGATTTTAGGGTGGAAATCAATTCTCCACCGGATGTTGATCGCTATGGTCTGGGATTCTGGGGGAGGGGGGAGAGGGGAGGCAGAGATCCCCAATGATTTCCGTGGGATATTGTGTTCAAAAGGCAGATGGGATTATGTGGGCCATGCTTTGTAGCGTTATTCCTTAAAAAAAGAAAGAAAAAGGAAACTTCCCTGACAAGCCTATCAAAGCTGTGAGAGAGATGTCATGTAAAAGCAGTATTAGAGAGTGAAGATGGCTGAGGTCCTATCTGTGGCTGGACCAGATTCTGTTGGCAAGAGAAAGATCCGTGTAAACTTGTTTATATTTCCCTAGCAAAAGTTGCTCTTCTCCCACCTTCCCTCTCTTCTGTGCGGGGACTAACAGGCTGCCACCCACTGCTCCTGAGGGCTGGTATTTGAGCGAGGATGGTGTGAAACGCAGAAAGTAATTTTAAAATGTGTCTCCCCTCCCCCCCCCACACACAGACATATTGCGGTCAAAAGTTTGAAAAAGTTGCTCTCCAAGAGTGTCTCGCCCCCCACGCGCCGCTCTGCTTTTGACAGTTGTGTTTACATCAGCCGAAGGGCTGCCCGGGTTCTCAGCCCACGCTGCACCTGGCTAGTGGGGCTCGGAGCGGTTCCCACGCGTGAAGCCGCGCTGTCGAATTACAGGGCTCAAAAGGTCTCCCGATTTCCCTGCCCAAAGGGGCTGTATTGACAATGCCTGAGAGCGGGGCAGCTCCAGCCTCCTTCGCCTCTAACTCCCTCCTCTGGGTACTTGTGAAACCGCTGGTGCCACTTTAATCCCCCTCCCGCACAATCACGCTCCACGTGGGTCAGGAGGCGGGTTCCGGACGCGAGCCAGGATCCTGCGGAGGGCTAAGCATGCGTGGAGTCAATGGGACTCCTTTCAGGATTGGGCCCCCTAGCCGCGCTCGGTTCTGCCTGGAAATCTGAGCGGTGATGCTGCAGGGGAATCCTGCTGTCTTGAGTGAGTTAGCTGGGGGGAGGGGGGAGTAGTGCACCCAGAGTGTGTTGCCAGGTGAGGCCCATAGGGGGCGCCACGGGGAGGCAGCCTGCCGTGGTACCCTGGTTGGAGTGCGCGCGGCCCAGATGCTTTTAACAGCTGCTTTCTGCCTTTCTTCTTCCCTCGGGTCCAAATCCCAGCTCACAGACCGCGGGGGGGGGGGATTACTCCGCTTATTTTGCATCTCATTGATTGATTCACCCCTTGCTAATTCCGATTGGGCTCCCCGCGCTATTTCTGGCACTGAGCCATTTCGAGCTATCTTTTAAAAATACTTCATCCGATTTGCTGGTATATAAAATCAGGCATGAGTCCAATTTTAGAACTGCTTCCAAGAAACTTCGTAGGCAGCAGCAAAAGCTTTGCACGGGAGCACATGTTCAGGAACCCGAAAATAAGACGAATGGTACCGATAAAGAATTATATTTACTTGCTCAATCCGCCTTTTATTGCTATGATAGAAGAGACACGTGGTCGCTCTTGCAAAATAATTGCCTTGCTTTGAAATAATCTGCATATCAAACCGTTGCTTCGATTGTGTCTATCTGTGGGCATGTTTCAATCCAAATTATTTCCGTTTACTTTTACACTGGCTCGGGGCAAATTAAAATACAGGATGAAACTTAATCTGGCATTTCAAATTGTGGCCAGTTTTAATCTCTCTAATTTTTCGGCATTCAAAATAAAGAGCGCTGTATAAAATGCTCCTCTCATTTCAATCGTCTGCTTCTTTTTCGTTGCGTACGAACAATCTAGAGATCATTAAAACGCAGGGCAGGGCAAAATAACTAACGAACCAAAGTTCATCTTCATTTGTTTAAACGATTATTCAAAGCAAATAAGTGTACACTCCAGAGAATCGTTCTTATATGGGAGCCGGTTAGACTTTATACCCGTAGTGGTGGACTGGTGGAAATAATTGGCACTATTGATGAAAAGAACGGTGATTAAAACTGTCAAATCTGTTATGAAACGGTGGGGGGGATGTGCTTTAAATCATAGAGTTAATACATTTAGATATGGTCATGTCCTTCAAGGAGGTTGTGTTTCTGGAGTCGAATTTTTAAAAAAATCAACCAAGCTTTGACTATACCACAGCAGAGTGTGTGTTTCCAGCTCAAAAAGTTTCAGCGGGGTAGCCGTGTTAGATATTCTGCGCTCCAACAACTGATCATTTGCCAGAGTAACTATTTCAACACTTGCTACATGCATACATCGTTCAGATCCCACCGAGTTTCCAAAGACAATCTCGCCACCATTCACACATATCAAAGTGACAGTTTTCTTTTTTTTTTTAAGGGGACCCCGTTTTATTCCCCCGTCCGTAGAAGCGGCGAGGCATGGTGGGCTGGAAAGTGTGGTGGGTTTTTTTTGTTTGGGATTTGTGTGTGTGTGTCTGCTGGGAAAGTCGGGTGCCGCTTTGCGAGCGCTCCCGGGCTGGCTGCAGGCTGCGCTGGGCTCCGGTAAAACCGAGCTCTCTCGGGGCTGATTCTCAGCGTGAAGCAGGCTTGCGGAGGGGCAGCGGTGCTATTTTTTGTAAAATGTGCGTCCATCCTACTGCTTCAGCGCACTGCCCCGGAGAGGCCCCCTCTTCCTTGGGAATTAGCCTCGTTATCTTTATTGGCTCCCTTTTACAAGACACCGGCTGCGCTGAGCATCTTCTCTGTGTAACTGAATAACTTCTCTCGGGTCAGACGATGTTTCTTTCCTAGACGTTTTTCGTCCACCCCCGGTCCCTCGGTGAAGTAATTGTTCTCAGCCCCCCACTCCGGAGTCTGCTCCGAGTTACACCGCTGGCAATCCGCAGTGAGTTACTCCGGATCTCACCCCGTGAGCGGATCGCTGGCTTCCTTCCACCGCCTTCCCCAAGTCGGTGGCCTTTGGAGCTTGTATCTTATTTGAGTAAACTGTGGGATGCGGAGGGGGGGAGTAGTCACAGAGCAGAGGAGCTGGGCTTTGAATCCCCCTCCTCCATGCTTCCCCTGATGCTGCAGGGCCGGAGGGAGAGGTTAGGCGGGACAGGCGGCTGCGGGAGCGCTATGCCTTTAAGCAGCTCCAGCCGACTGGAAAAAGTAAAGTGGCAAAGAAGGGGAAGGAGGTAGGGGGGCAGAGCATGCCAGGCCAGTCCTCCCCCCTCCCACTGAACACGGCCCCTCCCCCGATTACCAGGGAGTCCGGTCAGAACCCAGATAACCAGCCCCGCTATCCCAGATCTCCAAGCTGCGCTGGGGGCCACAGTGGGAGCCATAACAGGGGCCGTGTCCTTGTCTAACCTGAACAACAAAGAGCCTCGGGACGGGGACGGGGACGGGGGCGGAGGGGGGGCCGGTATTTCCAGCATAAAGGGAATTGAAGCCCCGTTTCCCCCTTGCTCGGAGAGCCAGGCTTCCGCGCAGCCTTGCAAGATGCCCGGGGAGAAGAGGGGAGTTGGCCTCTTCCCTAAGGAGAGCTGGAGTCGCCTCTGCCCCCTTGCTCCCCTACTCACTGGGGACTAGCTTAACGCGGCTGCGGAGTCACTGCGGGGCTGCTCTCTCCCAAGGCCTGGGCGGGCGAACGGGGGTGGAAAAACAGCTGCGCGTCCCGCATTGGATCAGAACCGCCCAAGATGCCCGGGGAGAAGAGGGGAGTTGGCCTCTTCCCTAAGGAGAGCTGGAGTCGCCTCTGCCCCCTTGCTCCCCTACTCACTGGGGACTAGCTTAACGCGGCTGCGGAGTCACTGCGGGGCTGCTCTCTCCCAAGGCCTGGGCGGGCGAACGGGGGTGGAAAAACAGCTGCGCGTCCCGCATTGGATCAGAACCGCCCTATGTGCCCCGCCGCGCACTGATGGAGCTGGGGGGCCCGCGCCCCGGCCCTGCACAGATCAGCCCTGCCGCGCCCTCCCACGTCGGGGAGCGTGTTTCAAGCTCTTCCCCCTTCCCCCCAACAAACCGGTTGCTTGGCTCGCTGCGCCCGTGGCCTCTTGCGGGGTGGGGAGGATGGGGGGGGGGGATTCCAAAACCAAACCCACCCAAAGTTGCCTCCCCAAGATCTGACGGCGGTAAAGTGGGGGTGGGGAGGCCAGGCCCCGGCTCCTGCGCGGGGGGAGAGGGCGCCAGGCGCGGGGGGAGGGGCAGCGCGCCCGGGAGCCCCTAAACTCCAACTTTTTTTTTTTTTTTTTAACCAGCTGGTCAATTACCCTCCGTCAGGGCCTGTCGGGAGCCGCGCGCTGATTGGCTGCCGGCTGCTCATTTATAGGCCGTCAATCATCTCCCCCCGGCACTGGGAGCGCACCTAAGGGGAAAGCGCCCGGGCAGCGCGGAGCTTGGCCGTGGTGCAGTAGCGCGCCCGGCCCCGAGCCTCTCCCCGCGGCGGCAGAAGCAGCGCGCCCGCCGGCCCGCCACGCCGGCGCACCTGCTGCCGGCCCCGGCCATGTACAGCATGCTGGAGGGCGAGCTCAAGAGCCCCCCGCCCGCCCCAGGCGGCCCCGCGGCAGCGGGGGCAGCGGGGAAAGCTGGCGGCGGGGGAGCGGGCGGCGGGGCAGACCAGGACCGGGTGAAGCGGCCCATGAACGCCTTCATGGTGTGGTCGCGGGGCCAGCGGCGGAAGATGGCCCAGGAGAACCCCAAGATGCACAACTCGGAGATCAGCAAGCGCCTCGGGGCGGACTGGAAGCTGCTGAGCGACGCGGAGAAGCGGCCTTTCATCGACGAGGCCAAGCGGCTGCGGGCCGTGCACATGAAGGAGTATCCGGATTACAAATACCGGCCCCGCCGGAAGACCAAGACCCTGCTGAAGAAGGACAAATACTCGCTGCCCGGCAACCTGCTGGCCCCCGGCGCGGCCAGCGCCGTCAGCAGCCCCGTGGGGGTGGGCCAGCGCCTGGACACCTACGCGCACATGAACGGCTGGAGCAACGGGGCGTACTCGCTGATGCCCGAGCAGCTGGGCTACGGGCAGCACCCGGCCATGAACAGCCCGCCGCTGCCGCAGATGCACCGCTACGACATGGGCGGCCTGCAGTACAGCCCCATGATGTCCACGGCGCAGACCTACATGACCGCGGCCTCCACCTACAGCGTGTCCCCCGCCGCCTACGGCCAGCAGCCCAGCTCGGCCATGGGCCTGGGCTCCATGGGCTCGGTGGTGAAATCCGAGCCCAGCTCGCCGCCGCCGTCCATCGCCTCCCACTCCCAGCGGGCCTGCCTGGGGGACCTGCGGGATATGATCAGCATGTACCTCCCGCCCGGCGGGGACAGCACAGACCCGGCCGCCTTGCAGGGCAGCCGATTGCACAGCGTGCACCAGCACTACCAGAGTGCCGGCACGGGGGTAAATGGCACGGTACCGCTGACTCACATCTGAGCCCCGCTTCCCGGCCCCCGGGCCGCGTGGCTCGCGGGAGCAGACTCGGACTGGGGGCTACTAACCCCGGGGGACTCTTTGCGCAGAAGCGCGGTCGGTGTCTCGTGTGTTGGGGTACGGACGCCCAGGGCTGTGCGGACTCTTTCCTCTACCCGAGCCCAACAAGCGGCTAGGAGCGGCCGCAGCAACTTTTTCCTGGTTTCTGATAGGTTGGCGCGCTCTCTATTTTATTCTTTTAAAAATAATTACAGAAGCCGTTTTAAAAGTCTTGTACATGAGTGTAGAGGTGGAATGGAAACGTGGCGGGCTTTCTTCAAGCTCAGATGTTTACATTATTTTTTTTTTTTGTTGGTCGCTTTTTTTAAATAACTTTGCCCCTCCCTCCCCGTATCCTGCTTGAGGGTTTTATCCAAATCTGTGTAGCTTTCACGACCTCTCTTTTTTTCAAAAGGGAGGAGGGGGGAGGAAAAAGCTGTGCGGGTCGCAAACGCAAGTCTGGTTTTTTGTGTTTTTTTTTAACTTATAGTAAGTTGTGTGTTTGGGGTTGTTGTTTTTTTCCCTTAAACTTGTAAACTTCTGTAAACCGGTTTGTGACTTTTGACTGTGATACGTTTTGACATATCAGCCCGCGAACCAAACGTTTTAGTTTTTTCTCTCTCCGGTTTCTTAAAGACTTTGCAACACTCCTTTCTCCCCTAATCTTCCCCCCTCCCCTCAAAGAAAAAAAGGTCAATAAATTTTATAACGGGCACTTCCCCAGTCTCGTGGCGATTTGTACGGCAGGTTGGGGGGTGCAGCCCCAGCTCAAACTGGGAGAACAAGTGCTTGTAACGTGAGTCTGGTGACCAGTGTAAAACAAAAGCCCGTCGAGGTTTAGACCAGCGCCTTTTAAGAGCAGAACGGCGCAGTGTGAACGCTGAACTCCGCTTTCCCGCTAGGGAAACGCTGAAAATGAATGATTTAAAAACTAAGACGGCGATCGGTGTTTGCAATAGCGATCTTTCCTGATAAAGGCGTTGTAGTCGAAAAATAGCTTCTTAGTCGGGTTAAATTTCTCCTGGGGCCGAGGAGCAACACGGCGCAGAAAGGATGGCGGGTGACTTGTATGTTCTCATAATCAGCGACTCGCTTATTTACAGAAGTGGGAGACACTTGTTGCCTCGCCAGAGACATTTCGCCTTCCGGTCTGGGTGGCGGATAAAAAAGTGCGGTTTAAATTTTGTCTGGGGCTGCCAGGAAACGTGAGCTGGGCTACTAACCGCCCTAGCCCCCCTCGGAGAAATCTGCCCGCGATTGTATTAAAAATGAATGGTTACAAGAGTCCCCCAGGGAATAAATAATTTAACGTTTTAACGGTGGGTTGATCAGTATTTTTAGTCAGCAAACTCCCAGCCTGGCGTAGTCTGTCGAGATCGCTACTAGGTTCCAATTTCATGTGTCCTCCAAAGACAACACTTAGCTCGTACTTCAACTGTGCTCCTATAATTTGGAGTGAACGATTTTATACACAAATCGAGCTGTCCTGCCGACTCCGCTTTTGAAAACCGAATTAACGTCATTCCCTTCGCGTAGAAATTCAGCGCTTGAGACTCATGAAATTAATACCGAATCTATCCTTCAAAAAAGTGTAACAGTGCATTACTTTTTTCCTTATCGTTTAGTCTTTCACACCTGTTACTCTGCATTTCTTATGGAAAGGGGGGGCAAAATCTTCCAGCCACGCTGCGTGTGTGTTTTGCATCCCTAGAGAAAAGGTGATGCTTTTATTTGCCAAAACTGGCGTTCACCCGAGGCTGGTTCGAGCCGAGTATTTTATAAACCTTCATTTGATTCCTTTCCCGGCTCTGCCTGGCTTTTCCGCCGACAAGGGATGGAGGGAGAGGGTCTCGCTTGGAGAGTCACACACAGCGCTGCACGCGACCAGGGAGACGCTAAAACATTTTCCTCTCCAAACAAAACAACCTTCCCCTCCCCCAATAATCGAATAACTTCTCCCTCCACAAAAAAGCCCTGCGTTTTACCCAACGGGGTAAGTTTCCATCCAACTGGAGTAATGCGATTCGCGCTTGGAGGCTCGGTGGTTAATTTCAGCCTGTTTGTCGCAGCCACAAGTTCCCTTAGCCCATGTCTGCAGCATGAGCGGGGCCGTAGGTCTGAATCGCTCTGGTCAATTTCGCGGGGTCCCACCCGGGCGTGGGGGGTGATCGCTTGTAACCAGCGCGCGGGGTTACTTTTATTTTTAGAAACGCCTGATTTAGAGCCTGCGAGGCCGCCTTTTTGCGCCTTACCTGGGCGGCTTCCTTGCGAGCTAGGGACTCTTCTCGCGTGGGAACCCCCCTATCCCCGCCAGATTTCAGAAGAGACGCCGCCTCATGTAAAACCCCTTTAGGGTTGCTTGGCTGTGTGGTTTTTTTAACCCCCGCAGCACTGGAGTCTCCTGTCGGTTTTGTTTGTTTGGGATAACCGCAGGCAAGGGAAAGTACACGAGACAAAACATTGCGGGCGCCAATCTGCCCCCGGGCCCCACGGCCCTCAGCTGTCTGCCCCCCCCCCCCTCCCGCCCTCTCCCGTTGTAGCCCCCAGCCTGCAAAGAGTAAAACACTTTGCGCGCGCACTTCCAATGTTTTGCAGATAATGCACAAGTCGGGGGACACTTCTCAGCTTGGATTTGTGAAAACCAGACGCTTGTGCTTCTAAATCCAGAGTCCGTCCCCGTTCCCTCTTCTCTTCTCCTCCCCCCCTCCCCCCACAGCTGCTCCCTGCAATGTCCTCTCGGCTTTTCTGCGTGCTCTCCTTCCCAGCTGAGCAGCTGCCGTGGAAAGCGGGGCCCCGGGGAAGGGGAGCCCTCAGGCTGTTACCCAGGCAGCTTTGGCAGGAGAGAGCAAAGCGTCCTGCCAGCAGACCAGTTCCTTTCCAAGGCTGCTCGCTGCCACCTACCCCGGGCCCGATTCTGACCTGGCCTAAGCAGCGGAAACTCCGCTTCTACCCCGAGCTCTGAAAAAAGCCCCCTAATTCTGCCCTCTAGAAAGTGGCCCTCCCCCCCCCAAGAACGGACCCCCGGCTTTCCTGAGACGCAGTGACGCCCCTGGCTATTTCCACCTGCTGCAGGCCAGGCTGGGCTGTTTGGTTGGAAGCAGAACCCCCCTTCCCACCCCGCTGGACGGGAGCGCGCCCTCCGGCATGTAACACTCCCTGGGTCCCTGCGTGGACTTTCCTTCCTGCCCCAGACACCGTTCTGTGTCTTTCCCTCACAGGCTGGTCTGCAGGTTCCACTCGGGCCTGCGGGGCCCAGCGATTTAGCTTTGCCTGGGGAGATCGAAAATAACGCACCCCTCACTCTCTCACTCTCTCTCTCACACACACACACACAAGGCATTCCCCCCTGCCACTTCCATCTCTCAGACCAGCAGGGGACAAAATCAAACCTCAAGAGCAAACTTGCACTGCAGCTTCTCTTCATCTTTCCTTGGGGGCTGCCCCTGGTAGGGCTTAACCCGGAGGCCTCCCCCAGGACACACACACAAACCAAGTGGTTATGAGGCAAAGGGTATGGAGGGGGGGGCTGCCTTTTCACAGATTTTGCTGGGGGGGGGGGGATTGTTTTTAAAGTCAACCTTGCTCTGAAGGCAGGCACAAAGGCTGATCTCAGACAGGCTTGAGGCACTCCCAGGACTACAGATTCAGGCAGGTGTCACTGGGATCTGTGTATTCCCTGTGATGCTCTGGAAATGCCTGGAGACATCTGGAGTCACCAGGACAGCTGTAAGCAGTTATACATGCCACACTGGGGGAGTGTTCCTGCTTTAGAACCCACCCATGGGCCTAATCCTGCCAAATGCTAGGCATTTTCCCCTCCCGCTGAGGGCCTATGGCCTGCAACATGCTTAATCCCCATATACATAACATTATAATCAGGTGTTTTCACAATGAAAACCAGCAGCCTTATTCCCTTCTCCCCTTTCTTTCAAACCCAGGGCAGGTGAATCTAGCAAAATGGATAAACTATCAGCCAGGCCCAGGTTAATGATGTTAGCATGTCAATGTAACAGTATTTTGCCTGCTGCATTAACAACCTGTTGAAAAGAAGAGGGGAAGATGACACAAAAAGCCACAGCTTGGGTTACATTCTGAAGACTAGTTCTTCTGCCACAGGGCTATAGCATGTACTGGGTATAACAAAAACAGTAAGTGAAACAACTTTTTAATTTAAAAATTCTATATAAGGAAGGGGGTAAAAAAATCACAGAAAATAAGCAGAGGGATCAATCATACAGACACTGGTGAGGAGTGCCTGTAGGACTTTAAGATTTTATTTTTTCATTCACAAACTCTATTTGTTTCTAATGCTCTTTTATATAGTGAGAGATTAATGTTAAACTCAGTGTGAAAAGGCATTTGATTAACAGTCATAAATCTGAAGTATTCTCATGTAAAAAGTGAAAAGAAAAATCTCTAAGATCTTTAAGCCTATATATTGGCTACAAAACACCTCCATTAAAGTGTTTTATCTATCTATCTATGTTAAATGGGGGGGAACAGATTATTTAACAGACGCAAATAAAACTGCAGCGACAAAGTAAAGTGAACGCTTTGAGGCTCTGTCCAATTTGCATAACTTTACTACCAATTAGTGCAATGGCAGTATCATAACCAATGAGGTTAATCTGGGGCATGATTATTGCTAATTGAAAACTTCTCTACCAGGGCCTGTATGAATGATGCAGTCAAACTGCCCAATGTACCTATTTAGGGCCTAGTCCTGTTTCCACTGGTGTCAATGGTATACAATGATTTAGACTCAGTCCCTTTGGTTTGTATCTGGGCTTTGGAAGGAGAAAAAGAAAAACTTTTAAAATCTTGCAATAGAGACATAGAAATTTGGATGTATTTCCTTATGTTTTTGACAAGTCTGCAGGGAGAAAGGATGGTCTTCTGGTTAAGATTTTGTCTACGTGGGACAATTGACCAGAATCCCTATTTTGCAAAAGGCTAGTCTACAGTAGCGATTTTGGAATAGCTCCCAGTGTGACTTTTTATTGTTACTGCTGAGTGCAGTAATACTTCTGGAATAAAGTGACTTTTTTTCCCCAAAAGTGTTCACAGGAGCAGCTATGCTGGAATAGCTATCCCAGTCAATTTCCCCTCAGGCATCAGGGTTCTAGTCCTCCCTCTTCCATTGATTGTTCAATGTGACCTTGGACAAGCATTTATCTCTCCTTGCCTACTTCACTGCGTTATTTCGAGACTAAATCCATAAATACCTGAAGGATGCTCTGATACTTCCCTAACGGGCTAAATAAATACCAAAGCTGATTCAATTGGATTCATTTACCTTTATTTTTATTTGAGAGAGCACAGCCAATTTTGGTTTGTCTTAGAAATGCCTACACCATTCCTGCTAAATTGATTTTAAATTGGGTTTATACCAGGCTAGTTGAATTTGGCAAATTACTGGATTAAACTAACCCAGTTGAAGCATGATTTAACCTTGTTTAATTATGTCTACATGTGAGGTTAGCAGTGCAATAGTGTAACTAAATAGGTGTGCAAAAATCCCATGCCCAAAGAAGATAGGCTTGAAGTCCTGAGAATGAAGGGAAATTCGACAATGCTGAAACTTGTGAGGTTTTTATATTTTTTTGCTGTAGCTTGTGACTGAAGCTTCTGCCCTTGGCATGCTTTTCCATATGGCTCTGAGCAAAGTATCATGTGTGCTTTCTCTAAAGCTCATAAGAAAGAACTCCATGTAAC